GCCCCGTTTTGAATTAATTAATAATGAAACGAAATAATTAAAAAATGATATTAACATTTATGGATAGACCTGTCAATGTCACTGTCAAACGTTTGACTAACTACGACGTGACGTAAATTTACTATATAATAGCACAATTGCTATTTAACACTTGATTGAAAAATTCGAACGACTAACAATGAAAAATATTTTATATCCGTTATTTCTCCCAAAATTGTTGAATACGCGTAAGAGGTATTATGAAATTCTTATCCTTTGTCCGTATATCGTTCCGGTACATCACGCAGGTGAGAGCTGGTGACAATCGAAAGGGCCTAAAGTATAATATATCGCCTGCAAAGGATTCACATTGAATATTTATCCATGGCCATGTAGCGTCCGATCGCCCTTTGTTCTCGACGCCCGTTTAAACTTTTGATTCTGCAACGCTGGACCCTCGGAATCCACAATCATTCTCCCAGTACACTCAATTATATCTTCTATATTCTAAGCTTTAGGGTTCTATATCGGGGTTTATAAAGCTCGTCCCTTACATCGTTTTAAAGAGGCACAGGTGGCTATTTCTATCCTTGCGTCATGGACTCTCCCCTTCCGGGTGTGATGAATAATTCCCTTTTTCTGTTGGAATTGTCCTTGCGAACTAACTCGGCTGTATCGATGCGTATCGTAGGATATTTCGCTGAAATGTGAATTATGGCCTATGTCTATAAATCAGTTGCATATTAATAATAAATGTTGGCATGTTTTGATGAAGCTAAGGCGTATTTTTAGTATAAAACTAAAAAGATAGTTGTTATACTCGTCCTCCTTAAGCTGATATGGTTTAAATATACATTATATTGAATTGAAATTTTAAATAAATCAAACTTCGTTAGAAAACGATTAACAATAGCCAAATGTTTAACTAATATATCGCTTTTAAACGTTAATGTTTTATTTAAAAGTGTACGCGTAAACTATAGACAGTATTTGACTAACAATCCTAGATACATAAAAAACAATCCTAGACAGGTGACTTAATTTGATAGAAAAATAGTTTGTCATTATGGTGCTTTTTCTTGTTAGTGTTTAGTTATCGTTAATTTTTATAAATACATTGTACAGGCAATCTAGGAGATATAACTATACCTAGAAGAGATAGAGGATTACACACAACACCGATATTTAATAAGAATACAACTTTGATACGTAATGTTTACAATTTAGAGCGTAAACATTTTTTTTAATAAACAGCTTTTAATTTCTTTTAATTTAATGTCGTAATTATATTTTTTGCAGTTAATACTGGCTCACAGCGGTGTTCTTAATCTAGAAGAGTCTCAAATCTTTGACCAGCTGACTCAAAATTGTACATACGTTACATGCCCTTGCTGTTTACCACCGAAACAGCTCGTGTACGGTCCATAGAAGTTCAATAAAATGGCCAGTTCGATCACTCCTTTCAAAGCCCATTCATAACGTCTCTCAAATGTCTCGGGGTGTTTGTGACGCTGTCACCTTTACAAAGATCCGCGACTTCGCCCGTCCGCTGTCAGACGTCTTGCACAAATTCAAAAATAACATTGAGCCACGTTTTTTCCGATGTGCCTGTACAAACGTCCGATAAGTCTAGCGCTTCGTCTCTTTGTTTGATGCAAACAAGGGCCGAGTTTTGCTTATCTATTGATCTTGTGAAAGGATGGGATAAATATTTTTTATGACATAGGAAGGCAGACTTCCCTGTATAGGAGGTGTAATCCATCAGTCTTCATTATAGTTAAATGCTATTTTCATCATTATTATATTTCATATCATCAATGTTCTATCCACAAGTATCTAAAATACTTACTTTTACCAATTTAAGTATCTAAATAAAAACATGAGTGTTAATATTTTATTTATTTATCAACCATCAAAACGGTGATCATTTAGATATATATTAGTAGTGCATTGGTTATGTCGATTTATTAGTTTATATTTGTATTTATTTAAATTAAGAACCTTTAATCCTTTTTAAGTTGTCTATTAAAATGAACGAGATAAACCGACAAACTTAAAGTTACTTGTTTACTTAACAGTCACGTGGTATGTATTTATAACCGGTGACAGTAGAGCGCAACGTACTTGATTTCGTAAAATACATTTCTATTCGAAATGACGTCCCAAATTTTCATACTGAGGGTGAAACATTGTATGTGGCAAAAGACACCGCACAATAGCCTCTTAGGCTGACATAAATTCGCAATTTTTAAAAAATATAATACATGTTGTCGTGGCGCGACGGGCGACGCGCGTCAAACTATTGTGATGCAGCGAGATGCATAATTTGTCGAGCACATGTCGATTCTTTACAATAAAAAAGTTAGTGACCTCCAAAATAATAGGCAGCGGCGATGCAAAAAGCCTCCATTGAATATCTTTTGACCCGTGGACATTGCGATATAAAAAGTGTCCAGGTGGAGCTTTGCATAAAGGACGTTTTTAAAAAAAAAACATTTTCGGTAAAAAATGCGATTTCCATCCTAGGGTGAGTTTTCGTTGTACGAAATTAATAGTGAAATATTTCGGTGTGAGTTTTGACCTCTTACATCTTTATTATGCAATTTTTTAAGGTCTTGAGTCAAAATGGCAAGTAATTTCTGGCCTGCTGTGCTAAGGACGTGTTCACCTTGCTTTTTTCTATGTATTGTTAAAAAAATAACATCATATTTATCATTAGTGTTTTGACGAAGACGGTGATAAAAAAATGATGTCAAACAATTAACTTAGTAATCAAAAGGTACTCATTTAATATATTAAAGGAAATGAAATATAATCTTATGTATATAGGTAACAGGTATGTTTGTCAAGTCGACATATTGATTAGTTTTTATAATTATATTTTTACTATTAGAATTTTAGTTTTGAATTGTGCAAAGTAAAAACAATGAACATTGCTTAACACTACCACAATACTGTATTACATCTTCGAGCGGAAAATGTATTGAAATTATATGTCCAGCATAAACGTGGCTTTAGTTTTGGACACAGCGAATCCTTTCATAAACGGAGGCAGCGCGAGTGGTCGACCTTTGTAGCCCTTACCTCCTGTCTTTGACAACTCCGTAATATGTAACACCCTCGCCTAATACCATCGAGTCGGACAAAAAGTTTGCTTTCATGTCCAACGTCAAAAACAAATCAACGCAATAATAGAGGCTCAATACAATGGCTATCTACAAACACGAGATTTTTTTACTATAGTATTAAATATCAACCCCTATTTTTAACTATTTTATTATTACCAAAATCTGCATTTTGACAATAGATTACATATTAAGTATTTAAACCTAGCCTTTTGCGACAAAAACTTGGTAAAGGGTATTTAGAGAATGAAAATTTAAGCATAATTAATAGATTTCAGTAGTACAAGGATTTGCATTTATGCAATAAGTACACATAAAGCGATTTCTTATCGGTTTAAATGGTGAATTGTTTTAAATGATACATTTTGTGATTTTAGTAAATAATGATGTATAAAAATGTACACAATGGGAAACAAACCATTCTCTTTGAGGAACTGCATATGTATAACAGTCTGCCTCGCAGCGTTAAGAGTTCAAAAGTTTAACTTTGTTTAAAAATAAAATATTAAGTCCTATATTAAACTGTAACCCTCTCTAATCCTAGTTTTATTTTTATTATAATAGCCTGAGTACACCAAAATTATATATATAACAATTTATTTCTCGTTTAAGTGAATTGTAAAAAATCTTACGAGTTAATAAATATCTTAAAACCTTAAATATTTAGTCTCCAATAGTTCATCTATCAACCTGTTAAAATTGTCTTATTTAAACCACTTACGCAAACGAGAGTTTAAAAGATCAAACTGTAATTGTTATTTGAGCAATTGTCAATCCATGTCTTTTGTAAGTAAAAAATTACGTCGAGCAAATAAAAAATAAAGATCCGATTACCTTCAATGCAGGCCAGCTGCGGACAGCGCGGACGAAGGTGCGTTTTTTTTTAATCGCAAAAATTACAAATTGCATCATTCAACACTCCATACTTCCGACTCTGCGTCCAATATCAATTCATCTGAACGTATCTAATTCAAAATTCATTAATCTTCTCCGGGCAACGAAGATCTGAGAACAAATCCACTTGTATCCACATGGTCAGTTGCTGACAGGAAATTGATTGTGTTTTTCTATCATTCGAGCTCTCTACCTGATTAAAAAAGTTCTCATTATACATCTATTAGTTACACTTTCGCTGCATTCTTCTAAAATTATTGCATTTGACATAATCACGCAAAAATGTTAAATATAACCTATATCTTTAAAATAAACATTGAAGTGACAATGTCATTTTCCACAGACTAGAGACAAAAAATCGAATAAAATTATTTTGACCTACGATTCCGCGTAAATTATTTAATTATACAAAAATCTTGTGAACTTTTTATGTCCTACAATTTGAACAATTTGACATTAATTCTTGAGTTCCATAAAATGTTATTAATGTCAAAAAGAGCATTAAATGTCGATATTTCATTGTGTGGGTGCACCTTCGTCACTCAAAACTTTGTATTGCGATCAAAATGAATAAATAGCTTTACTATCAATAGTATTATGGTTCATGGAAACCGAAGCAAATTAAACATGTCCAAAAAAGGCGAACTTACTGGAAAAAAATTCCTCCACAACTTTCCTTATCCAGCGTTGTCACAGAAAAATATGATATATATGTATGTAGGTTAAGCAAAATACACTGGTCGAAAGTTCTTATCCCGTTCGAAGTCGAACTTTCTCAACCTAAAATTGACTTCATCGACATTGACAGATGTAAATAGATCTCGATGACTAAAGACAACTAGGGCCCTTAAACTGTACAGCCATTGGCGATAGTGACTTATATAGTATATTGTTAAGATCAACAATAATCTGTATCCTTTTTAACCACATTTTCGATAATAAGAAATACATAGGACTGTTCAATTATTTCGCAATGGCAACTTTTTGCCTCAGGTCAACATAATGCCGGAGAATATTATATTACTCGATAGAAAATATCCCATTTCCGCATCTTCCCATAACAATGAGTTCGCCATCGAACTATTCAAATATAGCACGCTGTGGGTAAACCGAGGGTTTTTTTGCACAGCTAGCGAATTATTGGATAACCGAAGCCCATGCAAAATAAAAAAAAACCTACTTATTAAACGTTGGCTTCACGTAATAACACGTTGGTGGTTTCTTTCATTGTTTCCGAGAGCCGCGCCAAGATATCCGGTTACGGCCGTTAAATATTTTGCCTCCCGATGAAAGGGAAACTTCGTAGTTTTTTCCGTGAGATTTCGTTTTTGCTCCTCGAACGCGGAAGTCGTACTTATGCAAACGCCGAGGTATAGGAATCGATTTCGCTTCTACAATATGTAACCGCCAGTTGCCAACATACAATTATAGCATTCATTCATCAGAATTCGTTAATAATTATCGATTCCTTTGTCGGAGCTTCACGGTAGCTCCATATTACTTTCGCAGCGTTCGTTATTTTAAATGTTAATTGAAGTATCTGCGATTTAGCGAAGCCAAAGAATTTTCTTCGAGAACATTTATCAAATTAACAAAGAGAGTGAAACCTCTCTCAAAAGGAGCCTGCGCCGGACAGATTTAATTTGTTGCGAAGGCCTTTATAATTGGAACATAAAGATTGCGAGTAATTAATTTTCGCAGCGAGTCAGGAGCAAAGAGGCTGTGCATTGAGCCGGGGCGGCGGGCACCGCGCCTAATTAATATTAATGACCCCGGGAGGCGCCGCTGGCCCACGCTAGCCTTTGCCCAACGGTGAGATGCGCCCACCGCCTCTTCCGACCTCTCTTTACAACCGTAACTGATTTTTATCATTGATAACACACACAATATATAGTATACGAAAAACGCGACGTTATTAAAAATATATTTATTGCCTTTTTTCAATTATTATGTAAATACAAAATGTTTGATTATATTTAAATAAATACAGACACGGGTGAGAATTAACAATCTAGCAAATCTGGACTGTTGTAGAAGCCGGTTCTACAAAAGTTCAGATTTGCTAGATTGTTAATTTAAATACTGTCACTATCATCATATGGAAAAACATTAAGGTTTAAAAAAAAACAACAAACCAAGCTATGTTTTATTATATTATATGCAAATAAAACTAGTTTCATTACTTGTAACTATTAAATATTCCACTGATAGGCGTAGGTACAATAAGAGAAAATAAGAAAAATAGCTTTTAGATACACGCCTTGTTCTTTAAATGGCTATATGATAGCTATATGCTATATCCGTGTACATAGGGAGGTGTGGTGGATTGGTGTCTGGTGATGACCGATGGGACGGCGCTAAAAGCCGGACGGAAGCCGCGGACTGGCAGCTCGGGTTACAGGCCGCAGCTAGCGTGGGATCTGAAGCAAACATACCAAGGGTTGTCGCTGCGTCATGAAAAATTAAATTATTATTTCTTCTATTGAGGACACTGTTACTCCTCACTCTCCTTCTGATTTCTTTGCAAAATCTTATTTCTACTATCGCTAATTCTTTAATATTATCTTCTGTTACATAATTAACAAATGCTTCACTATTTATCTAAATGAAATGTCTTAATACAAAGTTATATTAGAATAAAAGTAATAGGTTGGATTATGTTTACAGTTTAAATACAATACGAAAATTATTCATGACTTTTAAGTTAGTATGACCTAGTTACAAACTGTAAAATACTACAATGTTAAAATGATGCTATCTGTAGGTATAAGTATGATTTACCATTTAGATATTATCTTCTAAAATAAAAGTTAATATTACGATTATTATTATTAAAGATGCATTGTCAATAGATTATTTTTACATTTAATATAATGTAGAACACAGGAAAATTTGATTATTTCGATCGCAGGGCACAGAAAATCAACTACTTGCTTGTAATAAAACCGATAAATAAAACGGACACAGAAATGTGTTCGCCATGCTCAGAAGTTTTAAGCAAGAGTGGTTGGGTTGTGTCAGCCCTGATATTATTGCACAAACATGAGAATGTGGGTATATTCCGCGAGTCTTCCTGTCCATATGCGAGCCATTTCGTCCGTATACTTGTTATCACAAACAAAAACCTTACACCCCACTTCACTTTTTCTACATTTTCGGGTTCCAGACTGCCTGTTACGCATCTTAAGTTGGAAACATTAAGAAATAAACGAGCGTTTATAATAGAGTAAGTAAGTTAAGTTTTATTTAACCTAAATGAATGTTGAAGACAGAGAAATTTGTTTTTAAGATTTCTTTAATAATGAAAATAATGTAATATTTGTATTATTATAAGTTTAATACAAGGTTTATTGAATTTTTTACATATTTACAATCGTTTAATTTACTTTTATTTATATTCTATAGAAACAGGAGTATCTGTGTCCTCTATTATCAAACATTTTACGTTTCGATACAAGAATATTAAATATCGCATGTAGTATACGCGTATAGCATACTTTTAAATAAAACACTATTAACGGTTTATAACTCGAAATATATGTTAACTTATTTTCTACTTCCCCAGTGACCAAGTCAAGCAAAGCATCCGAAATATCAGGCTTAGTAATATACATATATATTGCAAAAATAGTTAACATTAATAAAATTACAACTTATGTATTTACGAAAGACAAAATAACTATTTACTATATTGTAAAAGACAAACTTAAATCCTAGGTTTTTTAATGTAGAATAGGCGATATTTTAAAAGTAACACTTAACGAATTAAAACGCGAAATATATTAGTTATTTTTATTCTTACGTTAGAATACTTTGCATGGTCACGGCTAAGTCCGGTCTTTAGCTATGTAACTATTTGTTCCTTTAATACACCTATTTATGTTTCGCAACATGTAAAGTCTCGGCGGCTTCAGATGCACAAAGAGCGAAGCAAATGTAGGTAAGAAGGTTATAATCGAGTATAAAGTGGGTTAAGCAAAAAGCGGCATATGTTTTATTGTAAAAAATCCTTTGAAAGGCAATCTGCACGTGTGCTGGCTCTTAAGTGCAGCCGAGCGTAGATCTTGACTTCATTCAGAGCTTTTGCAGTAATTAATCCACATTCGATTGATATATATTACTTTAAAAATAACGCCTAAAGAGCCAAAAAACCAAACTTGATTATTTAAATAAAACACTTTAACGGTTTAAAACGCGATATATTAGTAAAAATAATTTAAAAATGATTTCTAACTTCGGCCCGACGTTTCGGATGCTTTGCAGCAGCCGTGGTCACGGGGAGACTCACCGTGTAATAAAAGTAATAAGTTTAACTAATATATCGCGTTTTAAACCGTTAAAGTGTTTTATTTAAATGTGTACTACTCGCGTAAACTATAGACAGTAATTGAACTTGATTATTTCAGTTGACGGACCTGTTGGTGTAATGGTAGCAAATGTCTAATCCAGGTCCAAGACGTTTCCATTTTTCAAATTATATACATGTTGGACTTCTTCTGGAAATCTGGATTATTACTGGTTAAATGGACAGTATTGATGAGGGTAGGACTATCAAAAAGTTCGGGTCAATAACCACCGTCCATAGATGAAAAAACCGTGAAGTTTAATCGCGTTTCGGTTTTAGTCTATTGATGTCCGAATATCCTAAGCATAGGTCGATAACACATCGTCATGTTATAAGGCTGTAGTATCAAAGTACGCTTAACAATAAATACCGACGTCAAGACAAAATAGAGTAGTGTGCGGATAAGTAAAAAGTTCGTCTATACGATCGTTTCCACTATTAAATTTGGTATTGATATAATTGTTAGTGTTTACTTATGCCTCGCAGCAATTTTCTGTGGTCCAGCAGAGCAGCGGAGCGGCAGATTACTCTCCACACTAAGCCACTAGACTGTGAAATCACGCGTTTAACATTCTTTGATGTCGAACACCGACAAATGCTTGTGAAGTTACTATTTACAAATGAGATATGAAGAGCCTTTCATTTTTATATTAAACATTTCTTGTAATAGCACGAAAGAGTTTTATGTGCTCGAAGAAAAGTTAAATATTTTTCACATGTTGGCATGATGGCATTATATATAAATATATATATAGTTTGAGCAGCACGGAACGTTGTAGATCGGTTCAAGTCTTGCACGTGTTGTAATTTTTTTCAAGCGCAATAAATTTTTAATTATTGAATTTTTCGTTAAATTTAATAAAAGTGAACCAGACAGTTAATATTTAAGTCAAAATGGTAAGGTATAAAAATTGACATTAAATAGAATTAATTTATAAAAATAATAAATATGTAAATTGGATTTTTACAGTTTAAAACGTGATTAATTAATTTATTTCCAACAACGTTTCGGATGCTTTGCAGCAGCTGCGGTGACGGGGTTAGCGTAAAATTATTTTATTTGAGTCTTGTTCCATGGTAGAATTATATATATTACATTAGGTATATAGTAACTTTCAATTACATGTAGATATATGCGGACAATAGTCCTTAGAATTCCTTTCCTTAACTCGTATGCTCTGTTGCTTTCGTCGGCAAAAAATCGAAAGTGCAAGTGTTGCAATAATACCTCATTTGGCTTCACATTCCACTATTTTTTACGCGTGTCTTTTGTTTGGCCGTCGAATGCGAGTTATAAATGATCGTAGCTCCGATATCGGCATACAATAAGCCGAGGACCCACCACTCGAATCATTGGAATAGAGCCAGTATCATACAATAAATAGAGTTCTCTAGGGTCTCGCTTTATTTCAATATTTCCATGAATTTTGTGGAAGAAATACGAGTTTGATGATTGAAATCATGTTTATCGCAGTCGGTTTTTACTATCTATGAATTATTCAGACGGGGATTTCCGTTCTTGAGCTCATCTAAGATTTGAATATTTCGTGAAGTCCAGCGTCCGTGGAGAGATATTTTTCTGTGTCTGTTACACTGATCGATTTAAGAGCCTCGTGTTCAATAACAATTTACCATATTTCTAAGGGTACCTAGGTTAATACTACATTTAATTAAGTGTAGTTCTATCATTATTTAAGTAGTTAATTTGCGCTTTACAAAGCTATAAATAGTAACATGACTTTAAAAACGAAAAGTAAGATTGTTCCTTTCAAGGAATACGTCCCGAGAGTAATTAACCCGTTTTTTGCATCCATTCCCTTATTCCTTTGATTTATTTTAGGGATCCGTTTGGAATATAAGAATTTGCGAAATATTGCAGCCCATTCGGGTGAAGGTTTGTGGTTCTCAAACTTAAAATTAAATTTTGTTATTATATAACTATGTTTTAATCACCAGAGAAATTATTTTCACAAACAATGATAAACATTTTGCAGTCGTTCAAAATAACCATATCTGTATTTACAACATCATATTTTTTTCAAATATTGAAAAAACTACAAAATAGAGCCTTTTTGCATTGTTTAACATCTTACAATATTAGTATTACTTACAACTAATATGGGCAAACATCGACGATAAGACTCGTAGCATCGATTCGAGTTATCAGAAGTTTGACAACCGTCGTGTTTAATGAGTCCCTTCGTAGAAATCGATTCTGGGAATAGGAAAAAGCGCAGGTAGACATCGAGAGTGAAAGGGTCGATGCAATTCGAGAACTAGCCCAGTTCACCCAGAGTCTTTACTGACCTCGCCGTTTTTGCTACAGCGGATCAGATGGGCGATTGCCACAGAATACTGAATAAAACAGAAGGCATCTCCAATTTAGTTAGTTAATTTGGGTTATAGTTGTATAGTAGCATTTATTTTTAATATTAAGTTTTATGGTAAAACAGATCTATGGCATAAATAAACCGCTGCTCCGTTTTTAATGTCCGGTGAGTGTATGTTTAAAATAGATAAAGAAACAAAAATGAATGAAAAAATATATAATACCATACTATTTCAACCAAACACAGTCTATTAAATTTTGTTTCTCCCTTATGTAGTAAAATTTGCAACTTCAAATAGGTTTAGCTCTAATCGTAAAAATCTCGATGTTCCTGACACTTCGTTCGCATCGCAACAATTAAGTAACAGACTGACGCTTTCCGGTTGAGTGCCGGTCTAACTTTTGCACGTTAGCGGCTACTGGTTTATTCTGTATTCTCTGGCCATTGCGTACATGTAATGTAAAGTAGAAACACGTGGGAATCTGTCCTTTCTTCAACTGATTTGCCGATATGCTATTATTTGCATTCATAACCAACCTTTTTTTTTGAGTTTCATGTTACGAATGTGTGATTCTCATCAGTTTTCGGATACTCATTAATATTAAAGCTTCAAATTGAATTTAAATCTGACGATAGATAAATGTGAACTTCTTCAAAAAATATACTCAGATGTAGGAGCGGCGGGCTCTAGGCCACGTGTTAGGTGCATACACAAACACTAAGCAATTCTATATAGACTGATTGACATTTTGAAGCGGATTTTAACGGATCAAAATACGATTC